TTTGGTTAGCCCTAATTGTTGGGAAACAAATCTCTGCCTCTCTGGAGCTTCCTTCCATTTATTAAAAGGCTGACATCAGTGAAAAGAAACAACCTTTCCAGTTCTTTCTATTTTCAATGGACTAAAATCGCAAAGTTGTTGGAATGCAGCAGATTCATTCATTTATGATGCACCAAATATTAGAAAAAAATCAAAGCAGTGGTGACTGTTAGCTACAGTGATTATTGAAAGTGACTAGATGGGTGTAGAAATGGATAATTGTACTTTTATATGCAAACTCAGTATATTTAAATAAAATTTGCCCTAGTAAGGCAAAGCAACAAATATTTATTAAATGCTTACTATGTACCAGGCACTGGGGTAAGTACTGGGGATACAAATACAAACACAAAGAAAGATAGCCCCTGCCCTCAGTGGGGACAATGGGGAAAGACAGCACCCAGAAGGAAGATGAAAAGGAGAAGAGGGAGGTAGCCAGGTGAGGCATGGTGTTGAAGTCCAGAAAGCTGGGCTGGGCCCCTCCCCAAAAAGAAAGAAAGAACTGACTAATTGGAGAAATGGGCCAGCATGGCAAAGAGATGTTCCGGGACGAGAAGGCCACGGGAGTAGATGAATGGATGTTCCAGAATGAGGAGCCCAGGCACGGAGAAGGGCAAAAGGGCAGCTGAACCACAGTGGAAAAGCAGAGCCAGAAGGGGAATAAAGTTTGGCAAACAAAATGACATGGATTTCAGTGTCAGCTGTTCTAGTCCCTTCTTCACATAATACATACATAACTTTTGGAAATGTGTAGTAGTAGAGAGTGCAAGCTTAACCATACTCATAGTCAAGATACTTCTTCTTTGTAGTATTTCAGGCCTTAAATGAAAATGTAACCTCACTTGTGTGAGCACCTTCTACCATTGCAGATCACAATCTTTCCACACCTCTTTATACTGTGTGCTTCATGATCATGTCTCCCAAAAGTAAGCAAGCCTTTCTCTGGTCCACAGATAACAATCTTTCAGCACTTGAGCTATCTATCTGTTACCCTTCCCTCTTGCTACATTATCAACCAGGCCACCTCTTTTTACCGATCATACATTTCCTTGATGGTGTCCTTTTATACCACTTCTTGCATCATCATTGGTGATAAACTACAATCTATTTATAAGTACCACAAATATTTCTTTTTCTTTTCTGCTATTGGGGTCATTTGCAATTTTGATTCTTCTGAGGTTACAGTATTTTCAGATTTGCAGCTATATAGCCTGCACTGGAAAATATTACTGTTAAAAAGACAGCTTTTACAGAATTAAGTTTGAAACTATTGAAAATACTTTTATTTTTCTACATTTAATCCAGGCCTGGTTCCGCCCCCCTTTTCTTTCTTTTTTTTTTTTTTTTTTTTTTTGGTGAGGCATTTGAGTGCCCACAGTCACACAGCTGGTAAGTGTTATGTATCTGAGGCCGGATTTGAACTCAGGTCCTCCTGACTCCAGGGCTGGTATTCTATCCACCCCGCCACCTAGCTGCCTCCCCTGAATCACCTTCCGATACTCAGTTCTAAGCCCAGATAATTAGTCATCTGCAAGATGTAAATACTTACGGACTATCCCAGTGTACTACTGGTCCAACAAAATATCATCATATGAACAATATACATTTTAGATACTTTGCTTTTCCTTTATAGATGGTTAGTAACTCTCACTGAGGACGCCCTGTAGTGTTTGGGAACTCCATGCATTCATTACAATGTCTTTTGCAAACAGAAGCATCTAAAATGACTAAACATTAATACGTGATTCTTTCTACTTTTTGGACTTTGTATAGGACATCTTCTTTGAAACCTAGGGATGTCTTCAATAAGCACATCTCCCTGATTGATGCCTCTTTTGTTGTTATTACTCAGCAGATTGTTGAACAGAGTTAATGCTATGGTTGCATATGTGATGGAATTCCGTGTTACTGTCATGTATGTAAGGGAGATGTGTTTGAGGAGAACCTGTAAAGCTGCATTTTGCTTTTTTTGCTTTTTTTTGGTAATCAATACACAGCAGGTACCCTGAGATATGATAATCTGTATATTTCCAAGCCAGTCGTATGAATGTGATGGTGTGTGGACTGCTGTATAAAATTGTCTGCGATGCCTTGCATTGTTCCTTGCAGAGTGAGTGATTAATATTTGTTTAATTGAATTTCAAAATTTTTCTGTGAATTTCCTCATTGTGTGTGAGTAGACCATTTTGAAAAAGATTTTATATTTGAATACATGAAATATCTGTGGGTTTCATTGTGTCATGAAGTGAAACAGCTTCTAATCTTCCATTATTCCATCATGGAATGTCTTGAGAATTAGCTTGGACTCTAGAGCGTCAACATTGACTTGGGCTTCTTGTTTTTTGACATGGAAATCAAATGGTAGATAGTCAGAACAGTTCAGGGGCTATAATGTCTCATCATAGCATGTTTACTATAATGAGACATTAAAGTAGGATTTTTGTGGAGATTGCTATTCTTTGTGCTAATTTGGGCCTAACAACAGCAAGAAAATAAAAATCCTGTACCAGCCAACACTTCACCATCCATACATGGAACCACTGGTTACAGCAAATGGAGAAATTTTGAATGCTGTGGATAAGTTCACTTACTTTGGCAGTATACTTTCCAGGGATGTAGACAGAGATGATGAAAATGATGCACACATTTCCAGAACTAGCTCAGTGTTTGGGAGACTCCAAAGGAAAGTGTGGGAAAGAAGAGATATTAGAACCACCTACTAAGCTGAAGGTCTACAGAGCTGACCTCAATGTTGTATGCCTATGAAACTTGGACAGTCTACTAGTGTCATGCCAGGAGATGGAATCACTTGCATTTGAATTGACTTAGGAAGATTCTGAAAATCATCTCACAAGATAACGTACTAGATACTAAGGTGTTTCCTGAGCTAAACTGCCAAGCATTCAAATTCTACTGCAAAGAGGAACTCTAATGGGCTGGCTGTGTTGTGCTGTGTGAGTAAAGCAGACCTGCAGTAGCTCAAAAGAAATGTGAGATGCACAAATTAAGAGACATCTCCAACATTCCAGATGTTCATATGGACTATTTGTGCCTGACCCATGCTAGAGCCTTCTGAGCTCATCTTGGTCTGATCAGCCACAGTCAGACACACTGTACCTTGACCCCAGCATAGTGATGTCATTTTGATCCTCTTCAACACATAGCCAACTACAATTCTTCAGTCTCCCATGCTCCCAAGAGATCTTGTATTTAACTTTGATTTGTCTGTTTCCGTTACCTCCATATCTATCTTTTTACTAAGCCATATGAGAAGGTTATTTATTTGTTTATTTGTTTGACAGTCAATGAATCATTGTGTCAGTTTTATAACACTGGAAATAGCTAACTAATTGAAAATTTTCTCTCAGATTAGATTTACTATTTTGGTTTATGAAGAAAGTTTTGTGTCAAACTGTTGTAATTTAGGTTTCATCATCTGATAGTTAGATTATTAGAGTTGGTGGGATCTCTCTGCTGCCTCTAGTCCCTTCTCACATATAAACCATAAGGAATTCTATTGTCAGATTTATCTTTCTAAAATATCGCTATCATGACAGTGCATCATAGTTCTCTGTCCAAGAATCCATAGTATTGGGCAGCTAGGCGGCGCAGTGAATAGAGCACCGGCCCTGAAGTCAGGAGGACCTGAGTTCAAATTTGGCCTCAGACATATAATAGTTCCTGCCTTTGTGACTCTGGGCAAGTCACTTAACCCCAATTGCCTCACCAAAAAACAAACAAACAAAAAGAATCCATAGTATTTCTCTATTGCCTACTGTATCAATTTAATAACAATAGCTAACATTTATATAATACTTAATATGGACCAGGCACTGTGCTAAGTGCTTTTCATAAATATTATCTCATTTGTTCCTCACAACAACCCAAGGAAGTAGGTGCTATTATTATCCCCATTTTACCGATGAAGAAACTGAGGCAAAAAGTTAAGTGACTTGCCTGGGCCACACAGCAGGTGTCTGAGGTCAGATTTGAACTGAGCTCTTCCTGCCCCCAGGTCCTGGCCCAAGCATTTCATTCATACAGGGAATTCTTGGATGAGGAAAGTGTTACTATCAGTGCAAGTTGGCACCTTCACAAAAGCTTATGATTTTAAAGAGTTACCTAGAGCACCAGTTTTTTAACTGATTTCTTCCTTTTATGAATTCTTACTACACCTAAAGTCAGATTGTAAGCTACTTAAAAGCAAGGATCATAATTAACTTAATTCACTCAGTCAGCTAGCTGCCTCCAATTCTTTCAAACTCTTCTGTGAAGCTTCCTAAGGCCCTCTGTGGCCTAACTTTGTATGCCTACCTAGTATCCCAATAAGGACCTTCTATTCTAGACTTTTCACAACCTCTGAGTACCAGCCCTACACCCACTATCCTCTTTCTTCTCCTTATTCAAGTCCTAGGAGGATTGGTCCTGGCCCAAGCATTTCATTCATACAGGGAATTCTTGGATGAGGAAAGTGCTACTATCAATGCAAGTTGTCACCTTCACGAAAGCTTATGATTTTAAAGAGTTACCTAGAGCACTGAGTGGTTGTTTCAGTTTTAACCCCCCATCTTCCATGAAGCTTTTTTTGAACTCTACAGTTTTTTAACTAATTTCTTCCTTTTATGAAATCTTACTACACCTAAAGTCAGATTGTAAGCTACTTAAAGGCAAGGATCATAATTTATATTTCTCTTGTATTTTAAGAGTATTTAGTAAAGTATTCAATAGGTATTTGTTGATTCATTTGAGACATCTATTTAAAACTTAATGCCACTTTCTTCAGAAATGTAAACTTAGGATCAAATTTTTGCGCTCTACAAGATTTTATTTTGATCAGTTTGATGTGGTAATGTAATTCTGTTTTTCTATATAGGAATTTAAGGAATATAAAGTGATGACTTCTGTTATAAAGAAGCAACATCATTCTGTTTTAGAAAAAAGAAGATAACTTCTGATTCAACATGATAAGAAATTATTCTAAGGTGCATCCTTGATTTTTAAAAAATACTACAGTAAGATTGCCCATAATTTTGTATTTTAATCTGTATAGGCAGAAATAAAAAAAAAAATTTGCTCCGGGTACCAACCAGGAGATGTTAATAGAATAGATAGTAGCTAAGCAATCCCAGGGTGTGGCATGGGTGCTGGAGGCAACTTCTACTCTAGCATTTGCTTTAGGTGCCTCTTAGTTACCTGATAATTTTATTCTATGTAGGAAACCTATTTAGTTTACCAAAAATTAATAATACATACTTACATGTACATTTCTTTTTTGGTGTACTAGAAGGCAAGATTAGCCTGAGGTCTAATTTAATTATAGTGCAGCAACATATGTTTAGGCATGTAAAAGTTTTATAATTCATAATGAGTTTATTGCATATTATAATTATGGCTTTTGCAATTAAGTGAAAAATTACTACTATATAGTTGATATAAATGATGAAGCCAAGTTCTGACTTTAAATGTTAAGGTAACAACGGGTCAAACGCTCTTCAATTTAGTACATTTATTTTTTATTTTAGCTAGTGACATAAAATTTGAGTATCAAGTACTGTCAAAAGTGACAGATAAAGCCTTAGTTTTCTGTTAATTGATAATTTATGTACAGTATATATGTGAATTTTTGTTCATTTTTTCCAACTTCTTTAGGGCCGTGCTAGAAATTTAGCTATTACTGCAGTTGCTTTACAAGATCACGTTTTACATGATCTTCAAATCCAAACTCTTTCAGTGATAGATCTTTATAACACAAAGAAACAGAATAAAGATATTGGAAACAAGCCTCCCAAAAAAAATATAAAAGCAGTATTGGATACTGGACTGAAAAAGACAGCTACACAAATCCCTAGAGGAGAAGAGCCAGAGAAAGAATATGTTCTCGATCCACATCCTGCCCCCCTCACTCTAGGTAAGATGGGCTGGCATGGGCTTCTTTGTGCCAATTAATCTAATTCTTTGTTTATTAGAATAGTATAATATGCAGTCAGAAACATGTATACATCAAAGTTAGTAAATGATTTCATCCATGGAGGTTCAGGGATAAGTTGTCTTTGTCCAAGTCTCAGAGACTTGGAATACTTTTATTTAAAGCTTGCTCTGTATGTGGCTGATCACATTCCACTTACAGATAGTAGGGGACATTAAGGTTACAAGTCAGGAAAAATCTAGTTTGAAGAATTACATTAAGCACTAGGAAGGGAGGATTCAGCTGATATAATTCACTACATGGAAGAGGCTTCGGAGCCTGCTTCTAGAAGAGTCTTGATGGCATGTATCCCAGCAGGTCTGAAAGAGCGTACTTGGGAACTCAAGCTGTGTCTCTCCCTCAGGGTTCTCTGGATAGCGCTCAGGCATTAGTGTATCTGTTTTCTAATGCTGCCAGCTCCCGCCCCAAGCTGTGTCCCCCACTGTTCAGTTCCAGTGACTAGCACCTTAGTTCCATTTAACATCCATTAGCTTTTACAAAGGGACTTGGAGATATAACAAGAACAAAAGTATAAACATCTCTCCCCAGCATCTCAGAGGCATTCTCCAAATAGACTCCAAATAGACTTCACTAGGAAGAGTGGATTCAAACTGAACACAGTTTCTTCAAAGCATTGGTCGCTCCAGGTTCCCATTCCAAATCCAAAGATTCAAAGGTCATTACTCATTCTTCAGGCATTGATGCTGGCTGGCTGCAAAACCCTGCATGTAACTCAACTCCCAGATTCCCAGACTTCCAGAATCCTGGGTGTTTGGACATCAGATGACTCTCTCTCCTGACCTTTTGAAATTCAGAAAGCCATAGCTTCTAGCTTCTTTCACCTAAAATAAAAAAAAAAGGCAAAACACCAAGGCAGGCAAAGAACTGAGGCCCGCAGTCACGGGCCAGATGCTAGTCTCAGGCTTATAGCTTTGTCTCTCACCAGACAGTATTAGCAAAGGAGTCAAACCAAAAGCAAATAGACACCAAGAGAATAACCAAGAGACTGATAAAGGCATTGGAAGGTGCCTCCAGGGCTTATACAGACCCAAGCACAGCCAGTCAAAGAGGCGGCCCTGTGTTGGTCACACAAGCTAACAGAGGGACCAGCTACAGAACATCTCTGTGTCCTCCCAAACTCCTCCATAGCGTAGAGGCCTCAGGTAGAGGCCACCCCAGCTCTCCTGAAAGCCAACTCCCCAGCCCTTAGACTCAGGGAATTGCATCAGTGGAGCATGCCAGCATACTCTGCACATATACCAGTCCCTCATGACACAAAGTGTAGAAAGAGGCTACAAAGTGAGGTAGACATTTTCCTGGGATAGCTTAACAAACAGGACGTATGCCACTGTGAGGCTGAGGCTATTAAGTATTATCTGACAAGGAAGACACTAGAGATGGCTTGTACAGATCCTGGCCAGCTCTTATGTTCCATTAAAAAAAATGCTTGGCTTTTAGCTGAAAAGACATTTAAAAATCACTTTAATGTACTGTTGAACAATGTAATATTTGGCATAAAGGAAAAATATTATAGAAATCTGGCTGTGGGTTGTGTTATAATGATGTTAAATAATGCTATGAAAGTTTATAAAGAAAATTCTGTGCTATGTTTTCAGTTTAGTTTTCAGTTTAGTACAGTGAAAATAATGTAATAGATTATATAATTTTTCTTCAGTTTATTTAGTAAAAGACAGCTGATACCTTAGGCATAAAAAAATCTGTACTTCAATAACATTTACCCGTACTTAGACTTAAAAGGTTTGTTCTCAAGCTGATCCTGGGGCAAAAGCCATGAAGAATTAACACCTGTACTTGGAAACCTAATTGAACAGAAGAAAGAAACATACAACAGTAAGATAAAAGCCAGAGATGTGGAAACATAGAAAGATATTTCTGGCAAGCAAACTCTCAGAGAATATATTTTTATTAATTATAGCATCCGTATTAGTAACATTGAGCTTAAGATTACAGTGGCTTTTCTTGAATTTTCTTTGAGGAAAGAGGAAAATCTCCTATGTTTGACCATACTCCAGAGATGAATTTATAGGAAAATTTTAAGTTAAATCCTTTTAAGAGTTTTTTACATGTGTGCAAGAAAGATCCATCTTTGTTTTTACAAATAATAGTAAATATATTCTTCATTAAATTCTAACTCCAGGGGCAGCTGGGTGGCACAGTGGATAGAGCACCGGCTCTGAAGTCAGGAGGACCTGAGTTCAAATCTGGCCTCAGACCAAACACTTGACACTTATTAGCTGTGTCACTTAACCCCAATTGCCTAAAAAAAATTCTAACTCCAAAGTCTTTGATGTGGATTAGAGGTGACCCTAACATACAAGGGAATAAAAGCTTTAGCAGGTACAACCAAGTTAGAGAGGCTTTGGGCTCAAACCCATCAGTGACTTCTGTGTCTGTCAAGGCATGAACTATCTAGGCTACAGTAAGTTAAGGGAGGCTCATCTCCAAAAGTTAGGCCAACAAGTGGTAAATTTTGTTGACTATAGTATGTCATTAAGGAATGGAGAAGTTGTGATCTATGAATAGATAGAGGAAGAATATACACCAAGAAAATCACTGATCTTTTCAAATTTTAAAGTGTGAAAATACAGGTATGCTTCACTTTGCTGAATTATATAAATTAATTTTTAAGATCAAAATGCATTTGAAATTTAAGAGAAGCTTTTAAGTTAAAGGAAAACTATAACATCCTTTTTTGTAAAGAAAATATTCTTTTTGTAATGCAGCAAATCCCAATTGTAGGGTTAGCATGGTACAAGACAAAGGACATTAGCTTTGAAATCAGAGGACCTGGGTTCAAAGCCTACCACTATCATTCATTTACCTGTGTGACCTTAGGGAGGGTACCTAACCTCGCTCAGCTTCAGTTTTCTTGGCTATAAATTTAGGAGGTTGGACTGTACTCTAAATCTATGATACAGTTTATGTTGATTTTTGCATATTGATCATAATAATATGAATTTACTAAGAACACAACAATCCAAGAAATATGATTAAGTGTCTGGTGAATGACATAACTAAAAGATGACTGTTGCTTGAAGTAGGGCAACTAAGTGGTGCATTAGTGGCACATCTAGCCGGGCGCAGCTAGACTCATCTTCCAGAGTTCATATGTGGCTTCAGATGCTTACTAGCCATATGATCCTGGGCAAGTCACTTAACCCTGTTTGCCTCAATTTCTTCATCTGTAAAATGAGCTGGAGAAGGAAATGGCAAACCCTTCCAGTATCTTTGCTAAGAAAACCCTAGATAGGATCACAGAGAGTCCAAATGCTACTAAAACAACTCAACAACAAAAGTTGCTTGAAATAATTAGGGAAGACTTCAAAGAAGATTTTGAATTTAAACTGGGCCTTGAAGGATAATAAAGTTTGGAGAGAAGAGAAAAGTACAAGGTAGAGGAAAGATCCAAGGAGAGAATGATACAAAGTGATTTCAAAGGACATTGAATAGACCAATCTTTCAATGAAAGGCTCTTGTTAGAAAGTAATAAGAATAAGGTTGTAAAATAAGGTTCCATTCAACAAGTCCAATTAAGCAGCTTTTCTATGCCAAGCACTGTTAGGTAATTGAAATACAAAGACAGAAATGAAAAACAGTTCTTCAGGTAGCTTTTATTCTGTCCAGGGCTACAATATGTAAACAGATAAGTAAATACAATATCTAAGGGGGGAGAACATTAACAACTAGGAAGATCAAGCAATGTTTCCCATAGGAGATGGCACATGAGCTGAGCTTTTGAAAGAGGCAAAGATGAAGAGGGAGAATATTCCAGGCATGAGGAATAGATAATCTGTGCAAAAGCGTGAAGATGAGAGAGGGAAAACTGAGCTGGAAGAGGGATGAGGAGGCCAGATACCTGGGATGCAGAATGTGTTTACTTGGGTTGTCATATAAAATAAGGCTAGAGAACAGATTGTGAGGGATTTGAAATGTCAAGCTGAGGAGCTTGTTTTTACCTTAGAGGTAAAAGAGAGCTCAACTGAAGATTGTAGCAGAGGATGATGTCGTCAGACCTGTGCCTTGGGAAGATTATTTTAGCATCTTTGTGGAGAATGACCTTGAGGGTAAAAGACTGAAAACATAGAAATCAAATATAAAGCTATTCCAATAGTCCAGAAAAGAAGTGAATAAGAGTGTTAGCCACATAAGTGGCAATAAGGCATCATATGGGAGAGATGCTGGGATAGAATGGATAAAACTTGGTAACCTATAGGATGTGGGAAGGGGGAGGGCCAGTGTGTCAAGGAAACTGAAGCGTCAAGGATGATTCATAGTTTGTGAATCTGGGTGACTAGAAGGACAGGATTGTCCTTAACAAAAGAAAAATGGTAGTTTGGAGGACAGGTTTATAGAAGGTAATGAGTTCTACTTTGGAACTTTATAGAGGGATTTAAGGGCCAGGTAAAGATGCTTAGATTTTGTCTCATTTGTCATGGGAAGCAGTTGAAAATTTCTGAGCAGGGCACAATACAGTAGAAGTGATGTGAGTAATGGGTTGCAAAATAGATTAGTGTAGGGAGAAACTGGAGGCAGAGAAACTATTTAGGAGACCATTACAATAATACAGAGTCAAAGTACTATGGACACAGGTGAATGAGGTGGTAAAGACATGTTTGAAATTAAGAACAGAGGAAACAGAAAGGAAGGGAAAATTTGAGAGTTAGAAAAAAATTATAGAACTCAGTATATGGGTGGGAAACTAGAGAAGCAAAGATGACCTGGAAAATTGATAGCACCCCTAAAAGAAATAGCAGTGTATGGAGGAGAATTGATTTTGGGGACAATGGGAAAACGTGTTTTAAACATGTTGGTTTTGAGTTAATTATGAATCATTTAAGTGGCAGTTTATTCTAAGGAATGGAAGGAAAGAAGAGAAAAGAAGAGCAGTAGGGAGAGATAGAGGCAGAGGTAAAGAGGCAGGA